CTTTCTTTGACATCTCCAGTAAGGTTCACTGGAGGCATTATTGCAATGTCCACCTCTTGTGGTAATTTGTCATTGTTATCAATACTGACTTCTACAGACTTTGAGAATAGTCAAGATAACAAAACTAATGAGTATGAATTTATGCATAATAAGCTGTTACAGTGTAACTAACTATAAAAACATAATACTCTGTACAGGAACACCTATTGTCCAAGCAATTTTGTCTACCAATATACAATTTTCCACACTACTTGCAACTATAGTGGTATTTCTGACACAAGATGTAACTGAGATATAATAATAATGTAGATAAAAATGTGAAAATATGTGTAAAAAGCACACGATGTACCTCTCAAGTTTCCAAGATAGCTGAATATCTGAACAACCAGTCTTTGGAAAAGCCTGAATTTATCTCTAGAAATCAGTCTGTAACAGACAGTAATGGTAGGCTTGTCATTAGCATTGTTCAAACACATTGGCAGAAAATTCACAAAACTAGCCTCCGAAACAACCCATAATTATTCAGTGGAAAAGAAATACAGAGATGAGCACAGTGTTCTTTTCAAGGGAAAGAAGGTATTTCTTAAGGCGGCTCCACACATTCAGCATTTGCCGAGCAGTGAGCTACTGCTTGCCCAATCCTGAACAGCTCAAGTGTTTAGCGAATGTTTGATCCCTTTGATGTGTTCTAATGGGTAGCACGAATACTGTATGTTCGACACTGCAAATAGTGAGCAACCCACCCATACTACTTGGATTCGGTGAGCGGTTGCTCGGGATTCACCGAATGCCGCATGTGTGGAGTCACCTTGAGGGTTAATTGAAACTCTGGGGTAAATTTCTGGTTTATCCAAATTTATTCAGCATTCATTCCTTATGTTACAAATTTGTACACAATGTCCCATAAAGTTTCAGTACACAATAGAAGCATGAAATTTAACTTGAGGTCTATTTTTATGCAACTCAGATCTGACAATTCATATCAACTGTACTTTCATCTAAGTAGTTAAGCACTTGAAATAAGATTTTAACTAAGAGATCCATTTAGTTCAGTGTTGAACTAAAATAATCTCATAAGTCAGGATTGGTCAGTTGTAAATGAGTTATAAACATTGAACAAATGAATTAAAGCAACCAAAGTTAGAAAAAACGTAGTAAATAATCTCAAATATTAATAAAAGTAATTGTTTTGAGTAAGAGCTTAGTAAAATGTTTCAAATAAATTCTCAAAACACAAACAGTTTGCATTTTGAACAGATGAATACCTCTAAAATTATACTTAGAGGGAGAGGATACCATGAAATGGGTCAAATTATTAATTTTTGTTTTTTTGCTAAATAAATAGTTCAAACCTTACTCTTTCTAAACATATCCACATTATTTTCTAGGACACCTGGAAGTCTCTTTAATTTTTATTTAAATGTCCTAGTGTGCACGAGTCACGCCCCTTTTTTGACACTGCATACAAGTATGTGCAGTGTATTTGCTATTTTTTCGTAATTTTGAACACATGTTGGATTGTTAAAGGTTTAATGAAACATGCTCTTGAGAACATGTTGATAACATTGGTCTTTTCCACTGAAGGAGATGATCCTTAATAAGAAGCATAAATGTTCTAGAAGAGCAGCGGCAAGTAGAGACTTTTTTCAGATGGTTTTTTGAAAATATACTTATTTTGTAATTAATGTACCTTTTCTCAGAAACTATTACTCACAATTTTTTTAAATTTACAGATTACATTCTTTGTAATATTGGCAATAAATTGACATTTTTATAAAAATATTCTTCAATAACAAAAAGTAATATGTCCAAAAAATTCTGAAAAACATAGGGCAAAAGTTATAATTGGAGAAAAAATAATAAATATTTTTTTATCAACTCAAAAAAATGTCAAAATAATTAGTAACTTTATTTTGAAGCATATGAAATATCAAAATTTTCTAGCTAACCGTTTTCTAGATAAGGTACTTCAATAGTAGAAAATTTTACATGGGCAGCATACATGATACCCTCTTCCCTTAAACAAAGATATTCTTTTACTTGAGATTGCACTGCTTATTGTAATTCCAGTGGTCTACTCTTTAGGATCGGGGCTCCTCATGTTTTTGCTCTGTTGAGCCAAGGTCAATTGCACCTTCCTCTTTGATGGTTGGTTGACACCCAGTAAGAGCACAATGAGAATTTTAAATGTCAAATTCAGGGATTAGAGAAATTCATCGATCAAAGCACAATGCAGTATTTGCACCACACCAAAACATTACTGCCCTTGTGAGGCATTCTGTAGTTCACACAACTACTACTACTTGTCCACATACAAGTATTGGAAGTCTGTGAAAGCCTACAAGCTCAGATACCAGAACATTTATTCAGATTGCCTTTCAATGATTATTTTTGCCTGAACAGACATAAGATAACAAAAATTTATCTTTTGAAGGCAATCTGAATAAATGTTTGGTATTTGAGCTTGTACACTTTCACAAACTTCCACTGTTTGTATCATTATAGTGAAGACCGAGTAGTGGCAGCAAAGAATTGTTGAATTGTTACAAATCATGTAAATAATTCATTGAAGACTTGCTTCTATATTACAAACTATCAAAAAATACCATAGCAAAAGTATGTAATTCTGTGTGTCATACTCTGTTGCATGCATGATTAAACAAGTAATGTTTCTGGATTTAATTTTTTAGCACAATTAAAAATTGTATGATTAAGCAAACACATTACATTATCTCCAGTTTTGGAAAATGAAATACAATTCTTCCCATTCACTTTCAGATATCATTGGGCAATTAGTGTGATGTCCGCTTGCTTCCTCTCCCAAAATGCATATCCAAACTTTGTAATGACATCTTGCATGAATCTAAGATGTTCAACCCTACTCTTAACTTATGTAACCTTGATCTCTTCACTTTTGCTACAACTACGGTAGTGTGTAAATTAATTGGGACAAGCTCATATTTTACAAAGAATTGAAATTGGTTAGCTGCAACCAACTTTATCCACCCAATTGTTGAGTGTTTGGTGGATTATTATTGCCTTGACTATGAAGAACAATTGTAGTTTACTTCAAGTTCAGTGAGCTTGTATGTGTAGCAATAGGTTCTGTGTTATTTCTGTGCTCTTGACAGGAAAACCTTTTGTGTTCAAATGGGTAAAAATAGTTGCTCTTCATGAACATACTGTAAGAGACATTGCTTCTGTTGTTGGTATGGTAATATCTACTGTTTCAAGACTTACTAGGGCATATAATGATACCATCTCATTGTCTATAACGAGAAAGGGCAAATCTGGATGAAATCATATAACTACACAATATTTTCTCTAACCTGGTGAAATTTACATCACAAGAAAGAAGCTCATTACAGCAAAAGGAGGGTACATTACTTACTAATATTCAGTAAGATTCTAACTGTATTCTACATATGCACAGTTAAAGTTTAATTGTTTGTCCCAAGTAATTTTCACACTACTGTTTCACCTTCTGCCCCAGGTGCTACCAACAACTCTTTACTCCTGAGCCCTGATTTAGAAGGAAAATTATCATTTTTACACAATCTCCGTAAGTGTGCAGGGAACTGGGTGCTGTTACATGTGTGTTACATATAATCACAGTAATATCAGTCAACAAATCCACCAAGGATTTTAATAATATTTTAACAATTTTTTATAACTATTCTATAATTTGTCATCTACATAATCTTAACATTACAAAGCTGAGTAAATTTACAGGAAAGTATTTGAAATAAGTCCCAAATAACAAAAATACCTTAAGAAGTAGCACACCAACTATAGAGATAAGTGAACTGTGAACATTCCAGGCTGATGTTTAGGAATAATACAAAACAAGTGAAATAAAAACAGAGACTTACGACAAAGGAGAGAAAAAAATATATAATACAATAGAACTTCCAGTATCTGGATAATGAAAGAAAAGGGGCCCAGAAAAATCCCAAATTCCTGATAATAAAAATAATCTTTACATATATATTATTCTTGTAGATATAATTTTTATATACATTTATGATGGAGGTTCCTCATATGCATTAAAAATGTGTTTTTTCTTCTCTTTCCTTCAAATGACACAGAGAAAAATATCATGAAAAATTAAAGTTATTATGACTAATTATGACTAAGAATCAAGAGAACAACAAACAGAAAAACCACCTGTATGGAGGTAAAATTCAGTCTCTTTAGTTCAAGATCTGTGTTTAGAATCTGATGTTATGCTCACACTCTCATAAACATTATTGATTCAAAATGGAGACTACATATTATACCATCACATTGGCATGGACTGACCAATAATCACTTCCATCTTTTGACGTCTATATCAGGCCTGGCCAAACCAAATGGTTTCATGAGTCACTTTGACGATGCATAATAATAATTATAGTACCGCTGCACTTAAAGCTGCTGTCCATTTTGTTGTAACTCCTCTAAATGGCACTGCAGGATAAGAAGGCCCTTCAGGTTTATGCAAATCCCAAGCCACCTGGCTTCATTGTTGCAGGACATTGCCGTGTGACAAAGGGCGAGGCCACGGAGGACAGGACAAGCGGGTGGCATGGGATGGAGTGAGAGAGGGAAGGAAAAGAAAGAGCAGGATGTCTGTGGGGTTCTTAACTTTTCAATTTGAACAGTGAGTCTCATGTATAGAAAGGTTTAGTTTCACCACCCAGCTAAACAGCAGTCTGTTTCATCGAGACAATTGCCGATAGCTGTATTAAAATGAACCTTAGCGTCCTCAAAACTCAAATATGAACATGAAAAATATCAGGAAAAAATACTAATTGCAGACTACTGTGGCAAAACAGTGAGTGAATTCCATGATTGGTATCCTAAGTACTTGGCAAGTACTGAGGGTAATTTATGAACAAGTGAATGCTGCACTTTGTTTATAACCAGCAAATCACTAGAAAATCCACAATGTTTTCCAATTAAATGCTTTGATGTAATACCAATTATTGATTATTATATTGCCCTTGCAAGGCTCTTTTAAATGTGTGACATCCTCTAAAACCATGAGTCTAATATATTTTGCAGGTATACAATGAGAATTTTTGAAATATAAAATTACCCAGAAGGCCGCATTTGGCTCACAGGTTGACCAGGCCTGGTCTATATGATGTTCCCCCCCCCCGAGCCTTAACATCAATCAAGCACAGACCACATTACTTTCACTAGTCTCCCCAGACAGTTGTGGCTCATAACCCACGACAGACATAAAACAATGTTTTTGCTGACCAGCATAGCTCGTGAGCTCATCCATGCTTAAACTGGATTACAAGTACAGGTTGCAGGTTATTTCTAGGTTGCTCTAGTGACAATGACCCCTAGGCTTGCTGTGCCAGGAGGTAGTATACCCACACATTAGTTACTGAGTGGAAAAGGAATTAGGAGCAGAAATGGGGCAGAGATGATACAGTGCACCAGGAAAGTCTCTCTGTAGTGGCACCCTGTGAGTGAGAGTGCTACAGCAACAAAAATTACGTTGGTAGCATGAGCTGCAGCTTGTAGCAAAAGAAAATGTAAATTGTATATTCTCACCACAATCATAACAGATGCTGGAGATGGTGTCCCCTTCACTTGTTTCCAAGTGCTCTGGGTGCTACAAACATAAATGCAATGTATAATAAGAGGCCCTCGATTGGCTCGGTGCAGAGAGATTTTCCTGGTGCATGTTGCATGGTATACTGGTACTGCATACTATGTCACAATTCAACTGAAAGCATCCACACATAACCTAGGATTTGAATCCACAACCTTGTTGGAACGAGTACTAGGCAGTGGCCCAAGCCCCTTGACCATCATTGCCACCACAGATATTCTAGCATTAATACAAAAATCTCTGGCTGAAGTTTTCAGGAGAATACAAAAACTTGTGGTCTCATACTGACAATTTTCAGCATTTATTTTAAAATAATATAACTGCTTCATTTATCAGTAAATTTCATATACTTTCTTAGTCGCTTTCAGTAAGCAAAGAAAAGAAAAGCAAATTATAACAAACATGAAGACCTGAACTTCATCATTTGCAGAAGACCAAATATATTGTGAGACCACAGCCTCACCAAAAGGATAACTCCAAGGAAATAGGTTTCAGCTTCATGATTCATGCTGATGACACTAACAAACATCTACAACAAAACTATCGTAGCTCTACATCATATAATCACGAAATTTCTTTCTTAATTGTTACTGGTACCGAAGTAGCACTAGTTATAATGTTCTCAACATTTTCATTCACAGTTCCTGAATTCACCTTTGGAACATGAATCCGTTTATGCCTTGTCAAGTCTGATGCAGTTGTAAATGCTTTCCCACAAATTGGGCATGCATATGGTTTCTCACCAGTGTGTATTCGTATGTGGTACCTCATCTTGTCCTTTGTAACAAACGATGCATTACACACGTCACAAGAGTATGGTCGGACATCATTATGCCTCCTTTTATGAGTGCTTAGGCTGTGCAGCTGTGTAAAGGCAGCTTCACAAACATCGCATTTATATGGTCTTTCTCCTGTGTGGATTCTTTTGTGAACACGAAGGCCTTGGAGATGAGCAAAAGTTGATCCACAAACATCACATTGGAAAGGTCGCTCACCGGTGTGTCTTCTCTTATGTACAGTCAAACTCTGCAACTGTTTAAAGGTTGCTTTACAAATGTCGCACTCAAAAGGCCGTTCTCCAGTGTGATTAAGGAGATGCATCTTGAGGCTAGAGTTATATCCAAATTCGGCACCACAAATTTCACAACGAAACAGTCGCCGCACTCGTCGAGATGTCTCACCAGCGTGGTGACGCTCATGGGTTCGGAGATTGGATAACTGAGTGAAAGCCGCACCACAAGTGCTGCAAACATGTTTCTTCTCTCCGGTGTGGCTCAGTTTGTGGTCTCGGAGATGAGAAAGGCGCTTAAAGGATGCACCACACATTTCACAATGATGAGGACGTCTGCCTGCAAGCACAAATGAACAAGATGTTATTGATTCCAATTTCAACAGAAAAACAAATATGTCTCAGAATATTTTCTTTACAGCCTTCACAGCTGATGGACCAAAACCATTCTTAAATTACTTTTTTTTTAAAGTCGATAAAAATTGTAGCCCTTTATAAGTCATTAGTAAAATAGTTCAAAAAATCATCAATACATAAGATTCTAAAGAAAGATGCTGGTTTACCTAGCCTGTTTATTCATTTATTGAATTATTTATTGAATTATTTATTAATTTATTTAATGCCAAGGAAAGTAAAACTTTTATGAGACAGATGAGAAGAGGAAAAGGTAAGTTAGCGTTCAGAAGGAAAAAGAGGGGTATCTCAATATTAGTTCAATGAATTAACAAAAAATGTATTTGTATATATGTCCATATATAGTTTTTGTATGTACATATATGTATGAAGCAATTGTTAAATATATATTTAGCAAAGTCTTAAAAATAATTTAAAAGCTATTGATTGTTTTATTATTAAAAGTTTGTATTTCCTATTGGAAAACAGAAGGCTGTTACCTGTGTGAGTCTGCTTATGTCTTCGCAAAGATGCAGCACTTGAAACAGCAGCTCCACAAGTTTCACATTTAAATCGTTTGTTTTTCAAGGTTTGCTGGCAAGACTTAATATGCACCTCCATAGATTCATCATCCACAAACAGCAATTTGCAATGAGGACAATATGAGCCTTTTCCTACTGAAAAAGAAAGAACTTTTTCACTTTCAGCAATTAATTTGTAGTATTGGGAGTTTTATTTTAACCTGTTTTATATTATTTATAACTTTTGAAACAAACATTCAGATATTATTTTGAATATCAATGCTAATAAAGAATGATAACAACCATGTAAAAGAGTTCATTAAATCATACTTTTAAACAATTCTCTTATGCATGTTTAAGTGTAAGGCATGTTTCCCAAACACTGCTTTTTCCTCTGCTAGAATGAGAGACTTGGGCTGAAGGGGTTTCCCTTCTCCAGGTATCTCTACTAGCAAGCACAGCCCCAACCACAAAAAACTCTAAGCTCCCTTGGACTTTCAGAAAATCATCCTGTTGCTTTATGAACAAAGAAACTATTCAAATGAGACTATGTTTGAACTTTCTCTTCATGAGAATATTATAAAACTTTGCACCTCTTCCTACTATAAATAATAATATTTTGCCTCAAGTTATTAATTATACACAAGTTAATAATTCTTTTAGAAGACAGTATTATTTGAATACATGATTGTTTTAATCTTTTGAATTCATGATTGTTTTAATATTTAAAACATGATTTCGAGGAAGATATTTAAAGATACTAAATCCTATGACTTTTATCCAATGTCTTTAAAGAAGAAGCAATAAAATCCTGATTGATCTGGGAACTTGTACCACAAAATCCACAACACAAGAAAAGAAAAGTATACCTTACCTTTATTTACAAAGGGTGTACATTCTGGTGAGTTGACACCTTTAGTTGTGAGATCCAATGGATCTGCATTTGCCTTGCTCTAAAACAGAGAACATAAAGAAAAGGGATTGACTAACATAGATTTCTTAAATTAAATCTTTGTAATACTTGTTTGCTGTTATATAAATAAATTGTTTATATTACAGTTCTCTAGCGTGTGGATGAAAGGGTATAAGGTTTTATTTTTTTTTAATTTTTTAAACAGGTTTTCACTCATTACGAAAGAAAAAAAAGATACTTTCCATTTAGTAGAAAGATTAAGTCTGTATTTCTAGCTTGGTGGTCGAGATCACTACGGTACAAGTGCAGTGGTGGACACTGCAAGAAGTGTTGTGGGTTCGAATCCCATCTGGACATGGATGTTTACCTATTGAGTTGTAGCACGGTGGACTTTCCCACCCAACATGCATCACCTATCCCATAACATCCCATCTCCTCTGGCTTGCCTGAGGGGCACAGGGGCCTTGGATGTGATTCAGGTACACACCACAAAAGGGCAACCCACTCCCTAGAACCTGCCAACCCAACGGTGTAGAGAAGTTACTCTAAAAAGGGACCAGCCTGACATTTCGGAAAACAAATGAATGACACATAGGACGGTAGCGAGGTAGTGATGAAGCCACTTACAAGTGAGCTAACATAAACAAACCCATTGGCATGCCAGTGCATGGATATAACCTGCATTTATGTTGCCAACAATAGCCAAGCAGTAGCTGTCAAAGCGGTAAACTCTCTGTAACAGCATGGGACTGGCCACATTACAGAGAGTTCCATGACGACCTTAAGGCTAGAGATTCAATGATTGATAATTGCAAGCATGCCAACAGCTAAGCCTAGTGCCTGTTTTTATCACGAGAAGTGGTAAGTGTTCTTCCACCACTGGATGGTGAGATCTGGTGCCAACCTACCTCTCGGCTGGCGGGGTTTTCCTAAACCAGGTATCTCCCACCAGCGAGACACTGCCCAAGCTGGGACAAGCTCTAAGTTCCCGACCGGTCTCCCAGCTTGTGTGGTAGTGTAGTGCGTGGAAATGTAAGTGTAAGTAAGAGGTGAGGATAGGACAAGGAAGGGGAAGGAAAGATTGCACACAGTATGTGGTCCGCTTGTGGTACTGCTGTAGTATTAATCAGAGAAACCACGGAAAACCACCTTTCAGAGCTGGCTGCTAGAATCCTCTTCCAGGCTGAATTCGATTAAGACTAGGGAGGAGCCCAACCTATGTGTGGCCTCTACTTTTTCCACTCTTCAAACAATTTTTAAAAAAATTAGAGTAAATCGCAGGAAAGTTTAAATGGTAGAAAATTAATTTTGCTTTTACAATAAAATACATAATATAAATACCATATTTTTTATTAATAATACGCTAATCTTTAATGAGAAATCATTAGGATTTGCACTTCAAAATACACTATATCACAAAAATCAAATGCTCTGCAGGATATTTCTATGTAGCAATGAGATGAAAATTATTAGTATGATCATGGGAATATTTTTCAATTTTCAATTCTTGCATTCCCAACAAAAAAACAAAACAAAACAGGGATTCTGTCAGGTGCTGGTCATGGCAGAAATGAAACTTCCCTGCAAGATTACTAACTGGTATAATAACAAAATTTGAAGCATTGGGGATTCACAAAACATTTCTAAAATAGTATATGCCACATTAACAATTTTCTCTTTATTTCTAAAATATAATTTATAGCAATTCCACCTAGCAATGGATACTCCTGGGGCAATGGGGTAGGGGGAAAAAGTGTAAAAAGCAAAAATTTTAATTTTGAAAGAGTAGAAGTCGGGTCATTTTGGTTGGAAACAGGGAATTTACAGGGGGTCAAGAACAATCTGCTTAAATGATGAGGAAACGTAAATTCTAGGAACTTAAAAGCAGAGTTTTACTGTAGTGTGTAGAGGTTCATGGTCTGCAGCTATGCACTAGAAAGAATGTGCTGAAAATTTGGGGTTGTGGGTATAGGAAGGTTGGGGCAGAAGTCATAGTACGTATTTGTTTCCTAAAAGAGATGTTATTGGATTATACAATTTAATTTGTTGTTTAAAAGAAATGATGTACTAATGTGTGTTCACAACAACAAATGGTTCTGTAAGTGTCTCTACAGAGAGTAACGTGAAATCAGCTGTCAAACTACCTCGGTGCCAGTTGAATGTAACCTGTTTCAAGCACTTTTCATACACCAAGATAGCTGCTCTCAATGGGAAAATGCCTGAGAATGTCACAGGGAATTGATGGAAGCTCTTGGGAATAGTGCCCTTCCATACCAGACCAGTGAAAAGAGCAAGAGAGTTTCTGTGAGGATGTGACCAGTGTTCAGCAATGCACGTGATGACCTGTGAGTGTGCTGATCGATGTGGCATGTGTGTAATCAAGCATCTCCCTAATCTGTCCTTTAGAATGGATTTCCACACATTAAAGAATGACTTCAATGAGAATTGTAATCTACAGCAAGATACCTCTTTGAAGTCTTCTTGTTGAACCACTAAGGGAGTGTCTGTTGCAGGCGCCTCAAGTTCCCAGTCTTCTTCCTCATCACATACTTCTGCTTTAATTTCTTCCTCCTGTCACATTACACACATCACATTACACATTACACCGGCATTTTGCCATCAACAAATTTTTGGGGTTTTCTAGTACAAACAAAATGTGGATTCTGACTACAAAACAGAGGAAGTAATTTACTACTTAGGAAAAAAAAAATATCCACCTTTCTGCACTAAGTTTCCAAAATGAGGTTTTAGGTTGAAAAATCACTTATTTTTACAGCAACATTACACTAATTTCTCTTAACTAGTAAGTGCTTAGTAGGGCATAAATGTAATAACAATAATATGGAAAATTCTGAAAATAAATTTTGGAATTATATAACTGTTCCCAAAGTGCAGATTCTGGGGAAGGCACAATCATCTGGAGAAGGCTTGTTGTTGAGAAAAGTGAAGTAAAGTTGAAACAGTAAGAATCTCAGAACATTTCCCACTTCACCACTATGTCAGACCTTTTAACAAAATATGGTCAAACACACTATTAACTCACAGAGAGTCAGAAAAAATCATTGCTTTTATTTAGCAAATTTGCATTTGTTTGTCTAGGAACCACAAGATAATGAGGATAATCAACAATAAAAAGAATGGGGGAATGGGGGGGGGGGAGGAAAGAAAAAGAAAAAAAAAGAAGAAACACACACACACATGCGCTAATTGCTATCCACTGAGCTAATCTTATTTGCTCACCTCTTCATGTCATTTTTAGATCTTACCTCTTCTAGGATTTCTTCCTTTACACGAACAAATTCAACTGGCTCAGTGGCATCTTGATTACCCTGTAAAAACAACATTCATGACAGTTGAGGTATTTCCATTACTTCAGTCACGTTAATGACACTATTACAACTAAGGTACAGGGCGACTATTGTCTTGGACAATAATCTGTGTTGTAGTGCAACGATTATTAAATACATGTTAACCTACATTTAAAGGTTATTTATTTATATTTATTTATCATAAGGTGCGAAATAGCATAAAAGCCAAACTTTTGAAGACAAACGTTTTAACATTTCTTACGTCAGGGGTCCCAGAAAGGTATTTGTGTAGAAATATAATGATGATGATGATGATGATGAGAGTAATGATGAAGAAAGCAGCAAAGATGGTGATATAAGAGGCAGGAGAAACAGGAAGACTGAAGAAATCTGCCACAAATTCATTTTGTCCACTATAATTTCCATTTGGATCACATGGCAATCAAACCTCGGTCCCAGTAGTGGATGGCGAGCAGTATGACAACTACACCATAGGTCACTCAATATTGAAAGGTAACTAGAAAACGTAAAATAATAAATGAAGACATACATTTAAACACCAAGAAAATCATTTACAAATTGATAAAACACCAAAAGCCAAGTCGTGGCTTCAGTGAAAGTTGCTCGCCTTTCACCAAGGAGGTCCCGGGTTTGATTGCAGACAATCTCATGTGAATTTTGTTCTGACAAAATGAGTTTGACTGCTTTACAAGGTCTAGTTCAACCCCTGTGAAGTGTCTTTAACTCTACCACCATCCTAATTCCTACACAATTCAAAAAACCAAGGATGGCATCCAATTGCTTTGAATATCCCCTTATCACCAAGGATCGCATGCAATCTGTATTTATTTACTACTAAAACACCAAAACCAATGGCAAAACCACATTGAGCGAATTGCATCCTGCCTACCAAAGCAAGCCCTATAATACAAACAAAAGAAAGAGGAACAAGAGAGAGGGGCCAAGCAAGAAAAATCTGGGAAGGCAAGGAAGAGAATCGACACTTCTACTTGAGAATCAGAAAAAACAAATCATTGTAGAAAAGAATCAACAGTGGAGTTCCTCAAGGCTCGGTATTGAGACCTATCCTATTTATTTTGTGTACTAGCAACTTATCAAATGGAATGCAATTCAAAGGGAAGATGTACACAGATGATACCACATTCTATTCCAAACCTCCAAATCTCTGTCTCCAAAAGGACTCAAATATAATACATGAATAGTTGAAAGACTAGATGCTACCCCTGAATAAGTTGAAATATTTGGAAACGCACAATTTCTGAACTGCAGCATTGCATAACTTCCTCTATATAACATAGTAGTATATGAGAGAGTGAAAATGATAAGAATTAAACTTCAAAGAACACAGTGATGAGTTGAACAAAATACATTTACGTTTGTTCTTCCATCACTAATACTGCAAAGAAACGTATATACCATGATTTTTTAGAGTCATTCTGAAAATTACAGATGCTTTGTTGAAAAGTCCTGTAGCAAAATACGCAAATGGTGAAAGTGAAAGTTAGTCATGGTAAACATCCCTCACAATAAGTTCCAAAAATAAGGAAGACAGCACATCCTCAGCTATCCCTCTATCAAGTTCCATTACTGTAGACAAAAAGGTTTTAAAAAAATCAGATTTCTAGTCTGGATGTTTCAATTGTGTACAGATGGTTCAAAAGAAAAATGTAAGAAAGAGAATTTACCATTAACATTTCTTTCCAAATACACAAAAACTTTTAATAAATATAATTTGTGATTTTTTAGACAAACCCAACATTATGCTAATATTTTGACCTCCATAATCCAGTTGATGTACCTGATGAATGGGCACAAATTATTAGAACGTGTAAAAACAATTCTTGTCCATATGAAAAAACACAATGTTGAATGAAAATTTTCTTGAATTCAAAGAACAATTCACAGAAATTCTAAACATACCAAAGTGATCCATCTGCTGGCTTTTTAATGGATAACAAATCTAAGTCATTATCACTTTTCTGTGAAATTGATTTCAATCAACCTTCCCAAGACAGCAAAAGAGGAAATATGGCTGAATTTCAACTCCACAATCTTAATAAGGGTATACAAAGAAAAATTTCCAGTATCTGCACCAAAATATGTAGACATTAGTACAATGTGAGATAAGTTAATGATTCCAAGAGAAAATTACTGAAAGTATTAGTGATTCTTTGTACTTGGCGCAACAGCCTGTGAACGGGCTCAGGCCTACCGGCGATGTCTAGTGGCCATGGGTTAAGGGGGTACGTGTGGTTAGCACATAGATATCCCCATGCCAAATTCTGGTCTTCTCAACCTGAGAAGTGAATTTTCTCATCATCACACAGCAACATATACTGGGACATAGCAAAGAAAATGCACACTATAGTCTTGGCTTGACTGGGAATCGAACCCGGGGCCGCGTAGTGGAAAGCAAGCACGCTGATCAAGATCTAGCCACGAGTCCATTAGTGATGCCTTACCAAAACCTATTTGGGGAACTTCAAAAGAAGGATTTGTATAATTTCCAGCTTTACTGATGGACATTTCCATAAAAATATGCATTTCAAAGATAGTCACAGTCTTGACAAAATAATTTAACCTTGTTTGTAATTGTTTATTATCTTAAAATAAATGGTTTTCTCAAAGAAAAAAAAAAGATTTATTTTAAGTGGTCTTTACAGGTTTTAATTGCCTTTCTCTCAACACTAACGAAATGTACATTCATGATTTGATATTAAGGAAGTCCAACCAACTATGGGTCATCTCCATGATTTCTAAACGGTTCACAATATTGAAATGCAGTTTTTGCTCAAGAATGGGAAATCATTTTGAGGATAAAATAATACTTTTTGACATGTGATTTTAAATTAAATGCACAATATTTCCTGTAGCAGCCCCTGCAACTGTCCGCCTTTGTGGAACAGTGTTGCAGGAGAGGCCGCGAAAGCCACCTTCCTCAGAGGCGACAGTTGCAAGGGGACAGGAAATATTGTACATTTCATTTAAAATCACACGTCAGAAAGTATAATTTTTACTAAAAAGTACTATCAAAACAACATACATTACATCATTCCTCGTTTTCTGATTATCCATTGCTAGTGACAAAGATACACAGTTCCATTGAAAAAATGTGAAATGAATCGATTTATCAAAAATTAAAAATATTTCGAACAATATCTCTATAGCACATTTCATGCCCTATGATTCCATGTTGTTGAGTGAAAACTGCATTTCGATACTGAGAACCGTTTAGAAGTTATTGGGGTGGCCCATAGTTAGTGGGTCTCCCTGTATATGTGATGGTATAAATGAAGTAATACACAATATAATTATTTCTTTAGTTAATATAAATAAAGTTATTTCTCTCTAACAAAAATTCACCTCCCTTCTCTTAGAAGATTCTGACATACCTCAACTGCTGCTTTTTCCTCCTTCTCCTCCTCCTCTTCCTCTTCACCCTCTTCTTCTTCTTCTGCTGCTTCTTCTACTGCTTCTTCTTCTGCTTCCTCTGCTTCAGTATATTTGTTGTCATCCTCCTCCTCCTCTTCTTCTTCTTCTTCTTCAACATCCTCTTTGTTTTCCTCCTCTTCAGACTCCACTTCCATTTTCACAGTCACCAGACAAGAAGGGATAAGGGTTTGAGGCTCCACCTCCTGGGAGACAAATAAAAATATTATTACAGGGGTCACGTAATGCTAAAGAGGGAGGGAGGATGTCTGAGGCAGTGTTACACTGCATTACATATGGGTAGGGGGTTGTTAATTATTGTTCATATTATTTATATTATATTATATTTTGCCGATCCGGTGGCCAAGATCGTTAAGGCAGTAGTGCCGTAGCGATTCGTACCGAAAGATCGCGGGTTTGAGTCCCCGCCTCGGGCATGGTTTGTATTGTGTTCATCCTTTCACCCCTAATCCATCCAGTCATCCTCATCTCATTACTACCTTCTGAATAACATTCAGAATTGTAACTCGAGGCTTTATCCTCACCTCAGAAGGTGAAAACCATCGACAGTCCGACCATGAACAGTAAAAGTGAAGTGGAACGACTCAAGTGGCCCAACGTGGCCAATCAAGTTAATAATAATAATAATAATAATAATAATAATAATAATAATAATAATATTTTTATATTGTATATATTTCATGCATTTTCAATTTCATAAAAACAAAACACCTAAAAGCACTGTCACTGAAATACTTTGCAATGATTATATACTCAGTAAGAATTGAACAGTGTACTTTTTCTTAGATGTGTATCCCCTACATAACTTAATATTCAGTCATTTTAATGGAGTAAACAAATTAATTAATGAGTTATTTTACCAACTTTCCCCACTATTATTTATCTTACCTTAAAGTAAACAAGTAAAAAAAAATGTTCATTTAAATTTACAAGTACTAACACCTAAAAATGTACCATACAGTTGTTATATTAATTGACCTTCACAAACCTTCGATAAAGCTTTTTTTTCTTCTTTCGTTCTTCTATTCCTTACCTCTAATGCATTCTTTTCCACAGGCATTGAAATAAGGCTTTCTTTCAATATGGTCTAAAACAAAGAGAACCACAAGTTAAAAATAATATATTTTATCAGAGGTCCACAAAATTTTCTTTGGGGGGTTGGGGTGGGGGTGGGGGGGCTGTACATTTTGTTACATCACAGAACAAACATACATACAACATTGTGTGAACTGAAGAAATAGCTCTCGCGGATCAACCAAAGGAAATCTTTTTAAGAGGAATGCACGAAGAAAATTTGAGGAAAACAGAGAAATAAGAAAAGAAACAAGGAGGAAATGGAAATTCCTTTACACAACCTCTCCTGAAATGTTTATCACAATTTTACTACTAGAAAATTAATATTCAACAAAATACAAAGAAGCCAAATATCTGGAATAGGCATGCCATGAGCATGATAATAATTGTAATTGCAGTTGGTAATAGCAAGGTGGACACCAGCAGAACATAAAATACTTGGTAGCTACAGAAACCAAACCACAATTATTACCTTTTCTTTAACATCTTCTGCAGATAATGAATTACCTGCATCAAGCAGACCAGGTTGTTTCTGCAATAGAAGATGAATTCCTTTGTTAAAAGTAAATATATGTAGGAAAAAAATCCTCTCTAAATATTAGCAGAAATGTGTAAACGTCATGAATCTTCTCTAATAGCAATGAAATACAGCAAAAAGAAAGAAGTTTGGCTGAAAATGTTACTGCGGGAGAAAGTAGGAACTGTAGCAAAAACAAAGATAAGAGAGTTGGTTTGATAGTAAATGAAGGTAGATAAATTTCCAATGGTTTAGGCAATAATAAAAAATGTATACATTTAAACAGGACAATGATTCTTGTCAGCCATATCATCAAGACAACTGGAAAGTATGAAATGTGATATAGTTCAGATGGTTTTTCGTAACCTAAAATCCACCTGTAAAATATTGCTTATGGCAGTAAAAAATCTGGTATTAATTATATGTTTGAGTGAATTAATTGAGTCCCTTGAAGAGAAACAAATTTCACAATTGACACTTTACAACTGATGTGACTATATTCTTAAATGCAATAAGTGTAATGCTGTACATTTCTCTTTATTAAACAAAATTTTCTTGAGCTCAGACCTTTTTATAACCTTGCAATAGGAACTATTGGCATACAAAAACAAGCTACAGATTCAAGCTACAATATAATTATCTTGCCATCATAATAAAGAAACGTGCAATTTTTCTCCTAGTTAGCAAAATGAGAGGTAAAGATTGCCTCTACCAAGATTGGACAAAAAAATTATGGCAATAGACGTACACTGGATCAAAGATGAAGACAGCCAGTGATTCTTAATCTAGAGTTACTTCTCCAAAAATTTTCCCATCAAAAACCTGTATATAGTCACATAAACTTGGTCTCAAAATATGTATTTATTTTATTATTTAATTAATACAATTATAAAAATTAGTAAAAGCTTTTAAATTAAAGGACAATGAATCCTCTAGTAGATAGGTATAAGAAAGTATAACAGACAGGGGCGGATCCAGTTGTTCATTTTGGGGGGAGGGAGGGCTTCTTAGATTTTTGTTAAATAGTGAACATATTTGTCACTATATTGTTTTTGAAGTGTATATATGGCACTATACAATATATTTAAATAATTACATAATTCTAACATAAATATTTAAATCAATTTTATCAAATAAAGAAAGGTAATCAACAAAAACTCTAGGTCTTTTCTCAGGGGAGGGGGCATGGCCCCCCTGGATCTGCCATTGATAACAGATGTCAATGCAAAAGTAATAAAATAAAGTGAACAAAAATAGAAGCAAAATATTAAACCCTTAGTGGATCATATTGAGAACGTGGTTCTGAAAGTCTCCTTCTGCTGCCACCACTTTCCAAACAACCACAATGACTCTCAGTAGTCATTATCTTCCCACTCAATCCACAGTTTTGACAGAACTTATCAAAAATATCCAGAATAATAAAGAAGTGTAATTATTTTTAACCATTCATTTAAAATTATTTCACTGAAATCTGGATTAATGAAACATTTTGGATTTATATTAAAAAATAATTGAATAGGAATCTATAAAGTGAATGTAAAATTTAGCTTCTTTAATCTTCACAAATTTATAAATTTGGATAAGAATATAAATGACATAATAACATCTTGGTCATTATCCTTTTATTATTCATTCAATTATATTACAATCCTGATGTTTTGGACAATCCATACTGAACACCACCAATTTAAAAGGAGTGGAAAGATTGTAACATTAATTTAAATGACCGCTTTTACAGCACATCCAAACCTATATGAATGTTTAAATCTCAGGTATAATTGATGGAAATTTAGGTAAGCAGTGATCCAGTGAGTAGCCAATTGTCCTGTGTATCAAACTTGTAAATGTATAAGAAATTTATAAGAGTTAGTTTCCAATGCATTAATTTTTGCAGCAAACCTAAAAGATGGGATCATAAATTTTTAAAATTATTATGAATTTGTTAAAAACTAAATGAATACCTCTAATTCAGTATTGACTGTCTGAAATAAAAGGAATCAATAATAGTACTGAAAGCATATCAATAGCACTTTTAAAATGAAAATAAAATTCCAAAGAATATATTGATAGTATGTTTGAAAATCAGTACAGTGCTTGGTGTTTTCAATATAAATTTAAAAACTATACAATTTATAATGTAATTTCTGTTTAACTATCATTTTATTGTGTATTTATTGTGCATATTCTAAAGGGTTTTCAACTTTTTTGTTTTTATTTTCTTCAAAAATATTTCTTACAATGGCATCAATAAAAATATAATATTTCTCTGTGATATGCCAAAACTACTGGAAGGGTATAATGCTGTTGCTAGAGAAAGGAAACGTCTCTCAAAAATGCAAATGACGACGGAACTGCCGAAAACTTATAAAACTTTATTTCACACATCGTAAAAATTATAATACTAATCTGGGTCAATACTATGGATTTGTATATTATTCTCACGCAACAAACATACATATTTCGTGAACTTAAATAATAAAACGTACACATTCCTTCAGCTCCTGTCCTCTTTCAGGATCAGGATGCATTGATTTTTCCATTGCTGGAACACCGAACTAATAGGATATCGGTTGCGACGAATTAAAACTACTTATTTCACAAGACATTGCCAGGTGTTTTCTGACTGAACAGGTCCCAACTTCATTTCTTCTTCGGTCATAACCACTTCGATGACAGTGAGCGGTCAAGAGCGTTTAGAACTGTCAACCGAAACAAGTTCTTTTCTTTGATCTCCCTAACACGTCACACGCACAGCGTGCGTTTTACGTGTACAAATCAAAGAATCTACAGAAACACTCACGGATTTTCTAACATTGCAGTAGGCGCGAAAATTAAACAGCTCCAAAGGATGTGACATGGCATAGATTGACAGCATACACATGGGTTTCTTCATGCTATGCAAGTTCCAAGAGTTTGTGTCACATATCCTTCAAATCTATACTTCGAATTTTCTGTAGAGGCTGATGACATTAGGTAATTGATATACCTCCTGCCTTATAAAATGAATATTTTTAACAGCGGTAAGCACATTTGAATTAATTAATGAATTAAAAATATTAATTTTATAAGGCAGGAGGAGGTGTAACAATGACCTAGTGTCATAGGCCATTACACAAAATCGAAGTATAAGAAGGCATTCGGCACATTCAGCATTCACCGAATAGCGAGCACATCAGCTGGTTGCCAAAATTCGAACAGCTGGTGTGGCTTCGGCGAATGTTCGCTTCCTTTGATGTGTATTAAGGCTGGCAAACAACAAGTAGGATAGTTAGAGGGGGGCAAGGGGTCCTCCCCGAGGGTCATCATTTTAAGAGTTTGACAATTATAACATTTTTTAGTTGGAATTATACAATTCTAAATTTAAAAATGATATTTCAATTATTATGAATTACACACAGTATTATACGCATTCAATTATTATGAATTACACAGAATATTATAAATAAAAGACATGTGCAAATACATTTTTATTAAATAATGTATCAACTATCCTGTTGTAGATATTTTTATATTTAATATTTGGTGGGTGGGTGATACCTATAGTTTTGCCCCGGGTAACACCGACTGAAGCTACGCCACAGCAAGCAACCGCCTAAAAATAATACAAATTGAGCAAACACGCCTAAAAATAACTTGTAAGAGGCCGATTTCTACTGCCCTTTAAATTTTACTTTCCTGAAACTTAAATCCATTGACACTCAACTAGAGCTCATTAAACCCATGGCGGAAATCATGGATTTCCTCCATGGAGAGTTCCTCCAGCCTCCACCGACTTGGCGCAACACTGGTTTGCGTCACAAATGACATGACCACAGCATGAGCACTTCGTTTGAACCTCCTTGGAAAAGCCACATCAGACGCTAGACGTTATGTTGATTGGAGAGTGAGAAGTGTAGAGAAATATTTTGAAAGTGGTACAACGTGACAATTTTCAACGGTCAACAACCAAAAATAACACAATGAAGGTGTACAAGATGCAATATTTAAAAGCAATGCTTCATAATTCTGTTTCAATGTCTTGTAACGAGGTAATATTTTGGTATCTGGCTGCATTTAAAATCTCCGCTAATATTGTTACGCAAAGTGGCGTCTGAAGCTCATTGGCTGAAATCGGATACCATGCGCAAGACCCCCCCGATTAAACCTCGATGGCACTAACGTTGGTATTCGATTGTGCTGTACTGACAAAACTATTGACACCTCTGAAAATTATCGAATACTATTGGAATCAGTTTTTACTAAATGTATACATTGAGATCATTCCAACATCATTATTTATCTTTTAATTATCTCTCATTAAATGTAAATATGTAGAGATCACCGGTTCAAACACTACTTCGACTTCGTATTTTCGTAATAAGCAAAAGAAAGACAAAATTCTGGTTCACGGTGAGCGTGAATGAGCGTCCAACTGCGTAAATTGGGGGCGGCTGAAGGCTAGCAATCTCTATTTCATATTTATTTCAAGTAAGTTTTAAATAATTTCTAAAAGATTGATATTTAAAAGTATAACAAGAGCTCCAATGTAAGAAATGAACAAAGAATGTATGAAAAGCTCCAATGTATGAAATACTACACACGTTATAACTCACGTAGCATCCAACTGCTTCAATACATCTAAAATTACGATCAAGAAGCGCAGTTCTTTCAGAGCGGGTGACTGTGACGCCCAATTCAGGGGAGGCGCGGTACATTTAAACCAGAATAGCTTATTGCTGCGATTATATGGCAATTTAATCATACTTTTACTACTGATTTTAATTAATACTTAATTTAGCTCATTTCTTACAACACTTTATTGGCTAATACTTAATCTCTTACTTAATTTTTAAATTAATTAAAAAAAAACACATCGCACGAGAGTTACACCGAGGACTGGGGCAACTCCGCTCGCAGGTGGGGTAGTGCCGTACAACCATACACATTGTAAAATGAGGGAATTATTACGATAAATAAAACGTTAGACTATAAAGAAATCGTATTTTATTATTTTCAAAATGAACTTTCGTATTTTACAGAAGTACATTAATATTTTCGTTGGTCTTATCTAACATTTTCTTATTTATTTATTTAGTTATTTATAAAGTACAATAATCGCAGATAAAGGTTTCTGCAAATTCGGCAGCACTGTACCCCTCGTGCATCCACCCAGAGCACAAACGACACCAGAACCAAAGTTCTTGATCTCTTCTAAATTCTGCATAAATTATACAGGTGTCTTGGGACCCTCTGTCTTACTGTACTTACAGTCCCTTTCACGATCCAAAAGCTCTTTGGATCGATGCCATCTAGTTCGAGTCGCAAATTATTGTGCTGATAGGTCCATCTGAAGACGACGAGTCAAAAGAAATATTTCGTACGTATGTACGTATATTCGTATTATAGGGAAAGTTACGAAATACTGCGGAAAATAGATTTCGATATTTCAACGAAAATACACGTTTTGGGGTCCCAAAATACCGAAAAAATGTATTTTTAGCATGTTCTTCAGTTTTTGAAAACAACTAGCGCCGAAACCATACGTACGATGTTTTCCAAAATGGATATTCCCTGGTCGATCCGTGTCCACTCCAGGCGCCGCGATATTGAAAAACTTCCTTTAAAAGTTGAAGGTATTTTACATTAAGCTCCTCGGACATTCTCATTTTTTTTCAAAAAAAGGCTCCAACTTTTCCCATACTACGTATAGTACTCCGTACATACGTATGTATACGAGAAAGTAATTACTGTATTGATATTATTAGCCAAGTGAATGCACATAGTTTTGACAACGCTACACTGGCAACAGTGCTTTGCTCTTTTCTGTACAATTTTTTGCGAATAGTGTATCAGTTAAATGTATTCCTGTTTGTTTCATTTGACAAAGTAAGAAATTATTGATGTTCCTGACTAGCGAAATGAATGCGGATATGCATCATATGCGCTTTGTTTTAATTGGTCGTCATCTATTTATTGTAGCTGAGGGTTTAGTAGCGCACAAAATGCAATACTTTATTATTACATAGCTGTTTCCAATAACGCGATAAAGTATGTGCTGTTGTAGCACCACTAGTTTAATTATGATATGAGAAGAAATTGTCGAGTCCTCAGGTACCAGGAAAAAGGTTATGAATGTTTTTTCTTTAAATATATTGCATGTATCCACGCAGCAGTTAAACTCTAAGTTTTCGACCATGTACAAACTGCAGAAAGTCAAAAATTGCTTTTCTAGTTGACGATTTGCCGTGTGCTGTTTTTGCTTTGCACTTGCGTAGTGTCGAGACGGTGTAGACCATCGAGAGTCGAGACACTCGACTCTGACGGTACGCATGTGCAAACCACCAGTTGTGTGTCTTGAACATACGTCTCTATTTCCTTGTATAACAGAAAATGTAAAGTTTTCTGTGGGAACTGGAACAAAGCGTCACCTGTGTGTGAGCATTGCAAAAAAAGGCTAAAAACAATATAAAATACCATCATTTTCATAAATTGTAAAAATTCGGATTTTTTTAGTCGTCCGCATGGCTCGATGCGGATTGAAATTCGACAATTTGGTACTACTGGCCACACTGGACACAAGTACAAATAATATTACAACAGACATCATTCACAATAACTACGAGAAGCAAGCACATGTCCTCAATTGTATCTGCAAATCTACATGTCAAATAAGCTAAGCTGTTAAAATACGAGAAAGTTAATACAGGAACAGAGCATCTATTTATAATGTAATTGAATTGCGAGAGACTTGATTATTTAAGTGAAAAGTGGACAATTGAACGAATGATACCATTATAGCTCAATAGCACCTGATCTCTCATATATGAGCACTGCATTGAAACCAAGCACACCAAACGGAATTGGACACAACTTGTCCGTGAAGATGTAGTGGTGTAAGCAATTTCTGTTTGTCGTATTCGGCGAAGAGATGAAATGCAGTTTCTATTTCTTGACTCCTCGCAGACGCCTTAGGATTGGGCCCAAGTAGCCTCCCTCCGGGGCGGCTAACCAGGCGACGCACACCGCCCTCAAGAAGTCCGTCACGTACCCTGACGAGCGGTAAGGGAGATGGTAATCATCTAAGGCAAATGATAAGTCGGGTGTATCAGGGTTCAAAGAATATTTGAATTCCATTTGTGTGGTGGTCCAGATTATGATCTCCGAAATGAATTCTAGTGCTCCTGTCATCAGTATCATTTTCAGATACATTTTAATTCTGCAACAAAAGTCGAAAAACACAGTGCAAAAATCTGTAGCAATCAGTTTAAATGACTATTAAAGTACGTTCGCCCTTAACTTTACTCATGTAAACAAACTTTGTATATGTCCCTCCGAGAAGTTAATGATTGGCTGCGCCTGTGGCGTCACGATTATACTCCAATGTCAGCCCTTGTTACTACAAGAACTGCCATACACACTTACCTTGTACTTCTTTAATACGCCGAAATTCCAGCTAAAAATATAGATTTTTGTTTAATTATCAGAAAACATATTAACAACCTCGCATGCTAGCGATGAAAGAGTTCCACAGAAAATACAGCGGTGTTCTTTTTATAATTGGGCAAGCCCCAACCTACATTAACCACATTCATAATTTTAAATGCTGACAATTAATATAATGACAACTGACTGCGACGAGACTTGACATGAAATACTAGTAATGGAGGATTATTCCTATTAAGCGCACTAAATTAACGGAGGATTACTCCAAGTGCAAAGCGCTCAACGCCCCCCAAATTGCTTGGAGACGCGCTGTGTCTATGCAGACGCAACCATTTAAAAAGAAATTGTTAACAGTTCGTCCCTAGACGTCGGTTCCAAAAACATTTGCACACGAATGCAATGCCAGATTAACAAATTCGTCGCACTCGCACTGCACTAGCTTTTTTCTTGTACATGGAGTAGTTACCTTTCTAATAATTCATCCCCTCATTCTCTTCGCGTTTTACCACACTGTCATATCTTCCGTCATTTCTTCGGCCTGTCGGATTCACTTCGGCCTGTCGGCAATCACTGTCGGATTTTTAGCCGCTATTTTCAAAAACTTGCAAAACCACTTTATTCTCAATACTTCTGAGGGATTTTTCCTGCAAATGTTTTATTAAACTTGCCGTGCCAGGATCTGCTTCACACATTGTGTTCGACGCGATGACGAAAATTAATTTTACTTAATGCAAGTACCAAACACCGTGTTTCACTAACAAGACAAATGTAGCATTTTTTTTACTAACAAGACAAATGTAGTTATCATTCAAGATCATAACTGCAGCTATAATTCGATTATACATTAAGTCCATTGACACTTCGTCAGATATGACGTTCTCATCCAATCGGAAGCTTAAACACCACTATAGTGACGTTCAAGCTCCCGATTGGATGACACCGTCACAGCTGACGATTAGTCAACGGACTTAATATTTTCATCGAAGTATAGTCAATTAGTGGTGCTACAAATTGGCACAGTCTTTTTTTTCTAGTTAGCTTCGTAATTTCTTTGTTCGTGGTTAGATTTTCCGTTTTGTCCCATTCTCTTCTCAGTTGCCTGCTATCATTGCCCCAAATACATTTTGTCACATTTTTTCGATTTTTCTGTCCCCTAGTGATAGAACTGAAACGTCACTTTAAAAAGATTACAGAAGAGTAACACCTGGTCCGATATAAAAATTTGCCGCAGTTTTTTAGGAAATGGCGTTTCAGCGTTTCTGAAACTGCCGAAAATTGAGCTCATTTTTCGAAAAAAGGTTTCGAGAAATGTTATAAGATATCATTTGAACACACGTATAAATGCAATAATGTATAAAAATCGCCGCTAATGTAAATATTAACGATGTGAGAGAGAGCACGTTGTAATTTTTGATAAGACAAAAGAATACAACAAAATGGCTTTTATATCATCTGTTACAGTACGTTGAACGCTTACAACTCCACCAGAAGTCCAAAGAAAAAAATTCGAGCCTTTTTTTGAAAATTTCTTGTTGATATATTTTAATTTTGCTCATATTGCCCTGTATTGCACTAAAAATACTAAATATTTCGAAATATATGAGCATGACCTTAAAGAAATAACTTGTAATGGAGAACAAAATCCATTTGAAGGAAAAATATCTATCTTCAATTTTGTAGTTGTAGGAAGACCCCGAAAATATTTAAAACTTTCGCAATTTGCGAAACTTCAGAGATAACATTGAGAAATGGAGTTATTCCATCTTTAAACATGTATTTTATCTCTTATTACAAAAGTTTTAAGAAAAAATTTGAAGCCATTTTTTAGAAAATTTTCAAAGTCTTCTAGGGGTTTCGGGTAAATTACATCCCTCAAAAAAGTTTTTCATAATCTCAGAACTTCCAGACGTGTCTCGTTTATTGAGGAAAAATTCCCATGAAATGTTTAGGCGCTCGTGTTGTTCACAGAGGGACCAACACGCAGAGACGGACGGACGTTTTTTAAAAATAACTCTTTTTCGGTAACAAGGACCGACGATTTCTTCAATCTGACTATATAACATGTTAAAGGGAGTAATTTACTGCATGACAGAACAAGATTTATCAACATTTTATGTATCAGTGCCGCAAAATTCACGCTCGTGTTTTTTCAGTCGGAAAGTCGCAGTTATTTGCCGCAGCATTACATAACTTTCTGTATTACTCCGTATATACGCAGATAATCTTCTTGCCCCTACGTCACATACAGTTTTTACTGTTTTTTGACTGAATAAATCTACATCTATACGTACGTATACGACAAAGTAAAAATCTGTTACCGGACTGTAGATCCATTTGAAACAGGAAACACATTGATAGTACGTGGGTGGAAGAGCGGCACCCGACTTCCTGGCTAACGAACGCTACCTCAAAGAGGTCCACTGGCAGCTGCACTGTCTTTAGGATCACGCTCGACGTCTGATTTCACTTCAAGGCACAAGATAACTTTATTTCGGCTTCGTTTTTGTAGAGGAAATAAATCAGTTTGAATACGAAAATAACTCGTACAGCGCACGACCGCTGAAGGGGATTGGGGTGTCCGGCAGCAAATGAGAAAGAGCGACGACCACGTGCATTTGTTTACACGCTGAGTAATTGAATTGAATTAATGCCTTATTTTACGTGGCGAGACTCGGGCCATCAGGCCCGCTCTTCCGACTGACCACGCAAATTTCGCTACGCTCCTTTCACCAACTAGCAGAGAAAGGAGGTATTTCTTGGGCGAGAAACGGGCGATTTTGAATTTAGCTCAGAGGCGTCATTTAGGTATGACATGTAAGTAGATATACTAACATGGGACAGGCGGCTTTACTTCCCCTCCGAAGGAAGGCGTACGAAGGATTTTTACGTCCTTAAAATCCACGGCTTCGATCGAGTTTGAACCCGCCAACTCGAGTATACCAGACCGATAAGCTAACCGTTGCACCATCGCCGCCGCCGAGTAAGGTAAGAGCGAACCAGGAATAACTATTTATTCACCACTTACGCTTTCGCATCCACTTCTCTTCGATTGCTGCCGCCGTTGCCGCTCCCGGAGGTCCCTCCATTAGCGCTTTGGACGATCGCTGCACATCGGGGATTCCCCTCCGCTTGGCGCTGCCTCGCATCTCCCTCTCTGCGTAGAACCGAGTTCCCTCTTCTGAGACGCTTAATCTTCCTCAAGGTGATAGAGAGACTGGCGACGTTGCAGAACATTAGACTTAACACAGGGCCGTAAAAGAAGATAGCGGTTCCGTATTTGTAAGAATATAAATTGTATATTCTACCATCTGCATCATTCGGATCTGCAATATAGAAGTAAAGAGAACGAATGTTGTGCTAATTTTTTTAACATACAAATTTCAATCATGAGTATCATAACGATGTATGATACGTGTAGGTTTAAGCACTGGAGAGCAGTTTTATTCAAGTTTTCTTGGAGAGTATTTCAAGTATGTAAGCACAAGAAACTAAACAGCTCGTACTGTATTAGGTGCATAATATCCCACACGATGTCACCGTTCTTGGGACCAAAAATATATTGTAATTGAAATACATTTATATATTAACGGTAGCATTGCACTGTATGGGGAGAGGAAGGGTTAGAGTGACACCAAGGAAGTTTTCCTTTCTCACATACTACGCTGGCGACACACGATTATGGGAGTCACCACACCAAACAAAACCGAACGACAAAACGGCGCACCAAAGGCAGAGAATAGTTGATATATGATTAGATAAGTTGTTTTGAAAGCCACTTTTATGGTTCGATTTGTAAAAGAAAATTTCCCCACATCTGTTCTCTGCGGTCTTAAATTTATTTTGTGCCTGTGAACCCTCTCCTGATGTGAAGGAATACTTACCTCCCGATTAATTTCTTTCCAAGCTGGATGACCGCTATAAGCTTTATTCAAAGCGCAGAGCCTCGTTACTGATCGCCTGTTTTCGAGTGAATCCAATTTTGCCATTTTCTTGTCCCTGAAAGTAAATTTAGCTCTCCTACGCTGAATCCTTTCCAAAGTTTTACACTGCATATTTTTGTGTGGATCCCAACAAATTGTTCCATATTCCATTATCGGGTGAACAAGCGATAAATAAGAAATTTCCTTCGCCTTTGTCGTACTCTTTTTTAAGGTGCGCATTTCGAAGTGAAGAGACATTCCAGTCTTTCCCTACAACAAAATCTACGTGACCTTTTCAGCTTAATTTACTGTGGAAATGGATTCCTAGGTACTCGCACGAGAAAACTCTCAGAAAAATGTCGTTATTTAAACGGTAATTTGTTTCTCTGTAATTACGATCCCTGCCGCTCAAGCGCTGCACCCCGCAATCCGCCTGAGCAGCACCGCTTTGTCAGCCGCCCTCTTCCTCGACGAGCTCGCCCTGAGACCAACCCCCCGTCACGCGCATTAGATTTTCACTAATCGCCGAGGAATTTTACGAGCCCTTTCGGAGCCAGACGCATAGCACACTACATCTTCAATACAAATTACGGAAGGACGTCAACCACCCTCTCCGAAGTAGCCGGTCCGCGCCACAAGAGGGAGCCTCAGAATGGTTTTATATGCCCTATAGGTTCGCGCTAACAACCGTGGAACTCTTTTCGAGCAAAAAAAAACAATCGTAGCCTACTTCCGAGACGTGCATGTCGCGAAAAATGAATGAATGAATGCCTTATTTTACGTGGCGAGACTCAGGCCATGAAGCCTGCTCTTCCGTCTGACCACGCCAATTTCGCTACGCTCCTTTCACCAACTAGCAGAGGAAGGAGGTATTTCTTGGGCGACGAAAAAGGCGATTTGAATTTAGCCCAGTGGCATCATTTGGGCTTGAGGATCTTTTATATGCAAGTAAATCTACTAACATGGGACAGCCGGCTTTACTTCTCCAGACCGCCGCCATTACAGCCCCCTCTCCTTCGCTTTCACGGTGCGCTGACGTCCCTGCGTGGCGACAACCGATTCATGACCTCATCAATTGTAAGAAGAGAAAATATATTGTAAATACGAGATGCGGGCAATGGAAGGTTTTATGAAAGTACCGTACCATTCCACATAAACCATCCGGCAATAAACAATCCCACAGTGTTTCTTCGTGCTGCGAGCTAGATCGAAAAGAATCGTGTATGCGAAATGGTATTTCGCAATTTTAACTCGCGTTCACTTCTTACCAAGAAATATACCGTGAGGTTCGTTGAAGCACACTCTCGCCTCCGCAAGCGATGGCTCCCACGGCGGTTCCGCGGTGCCCCTCATTATGTCCCAAGGAGTAAACAGGAAGGAACACGTGATCGTCAGCAGAGCGGGCAGTCCCCATGCCAAGACTGAAAACACTAAGAACCTCTTCTTTCCACTCCCGCCAGAAGATGCCGCTTGCAATCTAAACAGAAGAGAGGCAAGGGTAATATTAGGTTGGAAAATAAGAAAATTCGCCCTCAGACACCTTTTTACTTTCTCGCCTTATTACGTACTTACGTAGTCAAGAAAAAAGATGTGGCAGAAATCGCGAGCTGAATAACTCGTATTGAAGGGCCCTGGTATCGAAAAAGTAAACATATCATGTTCATATATATTATTTCTCTAAAACGAAGTATAGTGAGAATCCTTGGGTTGTAAGTCCGAAAGAGAGGTTGAAGTATCTCTCCGTCCATCCGTGTGTTCAACGCTAACGCTTAAATCGTTCAGACAATTTTCTTCAAAATTGGCATTCCCCGATCGATCTGAGTGGCCTCGAAGCCCCGCGAATTAGAAACCGTTAATTTTATTTCCAGAGATACTGAAGATAACACCTCAACATTTTCAAAATTTTCTCAAAAACGACACCTATTTGTTAATCTACATATTAATCGCATTACTGTAAATGCGAAATTATCGTGTTTACCGGTATCGGTTATCTAAATATTTTAACAGATTTTTAAGAAATGAATAATTTTCGTGAAATTCTTGCTTTAAAATAATAAAAATTCACTAAAACAATACTTTTTAACTATATTAATGAAGGCAATTTTCGTATAATTTGGCTAACATTGGAAAAATTCCATGTTTTCCTATTAGGTTAAAAACTTCTTACCTGAAGCCTAACGCCACGTTCGTACAGAGCGCCGTAAGCCAAAACCAAGAAGCCATCAGCAGAAAATACATCATTAAAGCTGGGGAATCGTAATAAAAGGCTTTAGTAAAACATATTTGTACTTTGAAGATTGTGTAAATAAAATTAATTTTGTGGTATATTAGTATGTAATTATGTATAATTATGTATAATTATGTGGTAATTAAGTGACAATAAATGGTTCAAAGCAAAATAACAGCTCTACAACAGCACGTAGCTTATCTCCAGCGGTTATGTAATATTAAAACAAGAGATGCACATACATTATTTCAAAATTTCAAATGTTCGAAAAACAGATTTCAACTAAAATGAGACCCACGTCATTCTTTTATGCGTCGCTTCTTCTACCCGTGGAAATGTTTAAAGACATTTAAGCGGTTTTTTAGAAAATATTTTTTTTAGAAATATCAAAAATTTCAAGCGCAAACTTGGCAAAAACTACACGTTTTTTCAAAAAACTGTACATGATCTTTTTTAAAGAGCTGATGTTTTACAACAGACTTTGGTTTTGGGAAAAATCTTTATCTATCTTATATTTTGAAGTTTTGAAATGTTAACTTTCTGCAATTTTCGTAAAAACGGGAAGTTATGCGGAAATGGGGCAAGCACCATATTTTAATTTCTACTTATTGCATATGAAAAGAGAAATTAAAGAGCAAATTTGGTGAAGTTTCTGATTAAAAAATGTTTAACTTTCGTATATTTCGAGCAATATTACACGAAAACTAGTCATATTTTCAAAAAATAGAACGTGAACTTATTTGGAGATCCGTCTTTAAGGAATGAATTTTATTCAGGAAAAAATTTCTATCTCAATTTTATATTTGTCAAGACATGCTCCCAAAATTACACTTTTGCAATTTAAAATAATAATAATAATAATAATAATAATAATAATAATATAATAATAATAATAAAAAGAATACCAACGAATGTGAGACCTGACCCATTCTATTTAGCGTTTATTATGGCATCCGCGGATAAAGATTAATCGATACAATTTGGAGCCATTTTTAAGAAAATTTGTAAACTGTATTTCATGCTTCGTATAAAGTTCCCTTAACAATTGAAAAATCCGTTTGAAACTCCTAAAGCCTCGAGATCATTCAGATTGATCGGAGAATACCAATTTTGGAGAAAAGTGGCTGAGCGATTTAGCGTTGTCCGCCGACGGGCAGACAAACAAACGTTTTGCCGCCAATCGCTTTTTGGCTTTCAATGACCCGCCAAACATGGAGTCTCACTTCATCACGTGTTAGAGGATTTTTTTATATTTCCCAACTGGATTTATCCATTTTTTTCGTTACCAGGGCCTCGCACAGAGATTTTCTGCCGAAAATTCGCCGTTTTCGGGCGAACGATTAAATACAAAGTACCTTTCTATCGGCGAGAAAGTAAACATTGCTATTTCTATCTTACTTATTTTCCAGCCTTTACTTGATTAACTACACGAAATGGTAGAGGTTCCATAGCAAGTATATGTCCTTTTTACTTCCTCGTATACGTACGTGTACTGTTTTTTTTTTCATAACTGCCTCTGACGTAACTCAGTTGTCCCGGTGTCATTCAATCGGAAAGTTGAACGCCACCATAGTGATGTCACTGTAGTGACGTGTAAAGTCCCGATTGGATAGCAGATGACCTGCCAGAGGCAGCTTTGAATAAATCGCAGTATATATATATATATATATATATATATATATATATATATATATATACCTATACAGAGTAATGTACGTAGTACAGAGAAAGTGATGTAATACTGCGGAAAAAGCTGCGAGTTTTAGACACAAAAACTCGAATTATGGGGCTCTGAAACAAAGTGGATAAATCCTGTTCGAATATGTAGTAAATTACTTTCTATGAAACGCTATGTAGTCAGATTTCAAAAATTGTGGGTCCCTCACAATGAAAATGTGTTTTTTCCAAAACGTCACCGCCTGTCTGTTCGTCTGTTAGTCCGGGTATCGTCTACGAACAACACTAGGGCCTAAACCATGCGTAGCATTTTCCCCACAATGAAGCTGCACCCGCAGCGATTTTGAAACATTAATTTTTGGAGGTACATTACATGAATTCCCGGGGACATATTCAAAATTTTGTCAAAAATCGCACAAACTTTTTTCTTTAAATTTCTGGTAAGAATAACGTGAAATTCGATTACGAAGGCAGCATAGGTCCAATTGTCACTGTTAACGTTCAATTTTTGAAAATTGCACATGTTTGGATTTTTCTGCGTATTCCTACAACTACAAAAATTGAAGATTGAGATTTTTCCTTGAAGTAAAATTTGTTCTTCATAATTAGTTATTTCATTAAGGGCATGCACATTTTTATCAAAATTTTAGTAACTTTCGCGCAATAATGCTTGCAATATGTGCAATTTAAAAAAAATAGAAAAACCAGACTTTCTCATAAACGACTAGATTTTTTTCTATACTTTTGATATGGTGCGTGTTAAAAGTACTTTATAAAATGAAATAAACATTTTTCTTTATTCTTTATTTAAAAAATACAAAAATGTAATTTTTTACTTGTCCCTCGCGTCATTAATATTTACAATAGTGGTCATTTGTTTACATCATTACATTTATGAGTTTATTTGCTTCGAATGATGTCTTACAATGTTTCTCAAAAGTCAAAAGGTTTCTACGAAAATGAGCTCATAATTTCGCATTTTCAGAAACGCTCAAACGCCATTTTCTCGAAAAACACTCGAAATTCTTTCTTTAAACATTTCGTACGAATAGGGCTATTTTTCGATTTCTGTGAAATGGGCATCAAATTTCGTATTTACAGTTACCCGTAAACGCCATTATCTTAAAAACGGCTCCAAACTTTTGAAATCAAATTTCCTTATAGGACGAGGTTTTAGTCTACTATAATATTCTTATTACTATAAACTACTCGACTAATACATTTTTTAAAAAACTGGGAGTCAATTTGGAAAAATCAAAATCAAAATCATATGAATATTGTTTTACATATGATTAAGATTATTTTATTCAAAATTACACGAAATAAACGCACATTTTGAAAAATATTAATATCACGTCAATGAAATAAGTAATTCTGAAAAACAGCTTACACTTACAAAAAATATCTCTCTCTACATAATTATGGTTGTAGATCGGTATCCAAAACAAGTTTTACGTCTGTAATTTGGTTACTCAGTTATTTCAATGAAAATTAAATCTACATTTCCTTAACACAAACATTTTCTTCTTTGAGCAAAAAAAAAGGAGATTTTTCCAGAATTAGACGCAAATATGTAGGCATCTTTCAAAGTCAATTATCAGTTTTATTTTCAAGGTTCCACAACATTAGTTATGTCTTATAAGAAAATCACACTGACACATATTTTGAAAACAAACTTTTTCCTTATAAGGCGCCGGCAATTGTATTTCAGTCAAAATCTAGGAGTCGATTTTTTTTAGATTTACATAACTTCTTAAATAAAACGTTCCCAAGAATGTAAACACTTTGTCGTTGATATCTTAAAGTTCTATGTGAATGTCAAAACTTTATTTGAACTTTTGCAACTTTTGGTATTCCGGGTATTTTAACAGGAATAATTATTCCATATGTGATATTTACTATTTAAGAAGCTTTACTCTATTCTATAAAAAATACTTCCAGCCGTTTTCGAAAATCTTGTTTAATCTATGTAATATATCATTATGTCTAATAAATTCTTTTAAATTACTTACCGAAATGTCTGCAACCGTCTCCTATAATCGAAAGCGATTCATCAACGTATCTGACCAGCACATAGTACACAATCTGTCCGACATTGAATCCAAAAAGGCAGAGAGCATGGCTTGCCAGGCACCATCCGTGCACCTTCTGTCGCATGCTACCATCGCAAGCGACATTCAGTAGCACCACGGCCAGCAGCAAAGCCGACACAACACACAGTGGTTGCAGCATCCAGTACAACCCTCTCGCAACCCGTGGATATTCACAGTAGAATAAGCCTTCCTGGAAAGTACTGTGGTTGCGGTGATAGGCCGAGCAGGTTAACCAAAAGCTGAAGAAATTGTCGCGTTTTGGGTGGGGTCCCAAATGCGCGGAGAAGTCTTGAGGGTCTGCGAGGTGCATGCGTGGACAGTATTTCAGAATGAAGTGAGGGTACTCTCGGTCCAAGTTCCTTGCGGAGGAAGCATTCAAGGGCGTCCAATCACTTTGATTATTTTCTTCACACATCCAATTCTCTTTCTTGTTAACCGCCACTTGCCCGTTATCGCAGCACATTCTGAGGCACTCATTTTCGGTGCATCTGGTGTTCACATGCATTGCAAAGGGCCCGAGAGGAGGCAACGCTGCGTCCACACAGTACTCAGCTGTCCTCAATCCTCCTCCAGGGTTAGGCCGCACGACGGATACGTCATCGAAGTAGATGACCTTCGGCCCCAAGACGTCCTCCCCGACGCGCGTTTGGTTGTTCCACTCACACGATGCGCTGACAGGCAAAACCCATCGAAATGTTGGATAATGGGTGAAATGATGGGCAAGCACACTTTCGATTCTGTGCAGTGGCAGACCGGGCGGCAGCCAGCTTCGCACCCAGTCCTCATTCAGCGGAGGAAGAAATACCTTAATTCCAGGGACAAAACTGTCGGATGTGATTTGAGCTTTGGAAGTCCAATCAGTCCGCACACACGATCTCCCGTCCCCCGAAAGCATCTCGTACTCGTCGCAGCACTTAAAAACTGTTATTCCACTGGCGCCCGCCAGGAGCGCCGCAAGCAGCGCGACTAGTGCATACGAACGCATGGCGGCCGACGGGAGAGGAGTTCGAGGGAACGGATTGCAAGATTCAGCGCACACGTTGCCTGGCGCTACTGGTCTGTTGCTCACAAACTCCTCCTGCAAATGTTCTTAGCGTGAAAGTGGAGGGTCAAATAGGCTCCAATAAGAAAGTGCTTAATAGTGTATCAGCTAGTGAAGATGTCGGACGAGGGTCAGGGCTGAGAGCAGACGTGCCACTCGGTTGAGGCGTCCGCCACGGAGTGTAGGGCGACTGGGTTTTGATATTGCGACGTATCCAGAGGTGGAGGAAGGAACTTCATTCTTCCTGCTGGACTTCCGCCCTTCAAGGATAATATCGAGTTATAAGTGGGGAGGACTTCATAATGAACTTAGCATTCTTCAAATTTCAAACTTTTACCTCGCATACTAATATTGTAGAGAAAAGGAATCACAGAAAGGTCTTGCATATGTATATACATTAGAAATAATATCGATTCTATCTCCTTGACGAGATTAAATGTGTTTTCCGTTGAAAATGTTAATAAAATATATGTAGTACAGCTTTCTACGATAAAAAAATATGTTACTTTGCATTTACAGGCCTCTGACAAAGAGAGCAGTAGATTATATTATGTTCTTAAAAAAACTGGAGATAACACTAAACAAAGGCAGCAATCGCTCTTTTGAATCCATTGTTGTTTGCGGAGATTTTAACATTGATTTTCTGGTCAAATCTTGCGAGAAAGAGCAGTTTATCAATTTAATTCATTCCTTCAGTTTAGATATTACAATACATGTACCTACACGGATCAACTAAATTCAAAGAAGGCAATCAATCAATCAATAATTAACAAAACCACTACTCGATAAGAAATTGAAACAAAAAAATTAGGATACAGTGATCACGATGCACTAATTCTTACCATTATAAGAAATGCGAATACTGGCACAATAAATAATACACGTATGAGTAGATTATTTACTAACAGTAAAATAAAATTATTCATCACTTACATGCTGCAAGTAATGGAATGAGGTTTACAATACTGTTGATAAAACCATAAATGTAATTCTTTTTTTTCAACCCGTTCATTTTATTTTAACACTTGCGTTTCTCTTCAAAAATGAAATTTAAATATTTCACGGAAAAGCAATTCTTGGAAAACACAAGGGATTATAACATCATGTAAATACAAATGAATTCTTTCTTTCATTTCTAAGCATCTTGACATATCTCAAGGTTTCCTCTACTTTAAAATCGTCAAGGGCATATCGAATAGTAGGTAGAGAATAGGGCCTAAAATCGATCCCTGCATGCCCGGCAATCATTGCCACGAAAAGTCAAATGGCAGGCCAAAACCATGAAACATGACCAAGATATTTTGAACTCAAATAATAAAACAAAAACCATGTGGAATATAGTTTAAAATTCGACCAAATCAACGAGAAACTTAGTAAAGAATGTTGTTTTAAAAGATAACGATAGAAATGTGAACGATCCGGCAACAATGGCTAGTCTCTTTAACCAATACTTTTCGAGAATTGCTACCGATCTCAGTGTCTTCAGACACAAAATTCAGTATCAGATGTTCCCCCAAAAATTTTAAACACGTTGTTCGTTTTCGAAACTTCTTCCTATGAAATTCTCAATATAATCGGAAAAATAAATATATTAGACCGGTGTAGATGAATTTCCGGATTGTTTGTTAAAGACTTGCGCTCCCGCCATTATACACCGTTAACTCACATATTTAATGCATCTTATGCACAGGAATTTTTACAGATATTTTTAAAAGAGCCAAGATTAAGCCGCTTTTAAAAAAATGCAACAAAAATAAAATTCAAAACTATCGGCCAATGTCGGCCTTTTATCGGTTTTTTTCAAAGTTATATCAGCCTTTTTCGCGTATGAATGGAAACATTTAGTAAACACGACGCGTTTTCAGAGTGCCAACATGGGTTTCGGAAACCAAAATCTACGGAAACAGATATATATTTTTTCTTAAAGATGTCGCCTCATGAATCAAAACCAAGCAACTATTGGAATATTTTTACATCATTCAAAAGCTTTTGACGACATTGACCATAACATTTTACTTTCAAAATTACCTTCGTCTGGAATTCGTGGTTTTGCTCTAGGTTAGTTATGATGGTACCCTAACAACGATCTCAAGGAGTAGAAATACCTTACTGGAATAATGGAACAATATGTTCACACATTTCTGATTATTTGCTAATTGCATCTGCAGAGATTGATTTTAGGCCCTATTCTCTACCTACTATTCGATATGCCCTGGACGATTAGAAACAGAAGAACGGTTCTCTTTGCGGATGATACGAATATTCTTTGCAATAAACAAACCGTAAATAGTACAATATCGGATATTTCAAATTGGTTTCGTAATAACAAATTAATAGTAAATGAAAAGAAAACTGTTTTAATGTTTATATCTATAGTCTATACAATTAGAGACTATACCGAGCATCCAAAAGGAAAGTAATATTCATTTTAACAATGGCATTTAATGCATTATATACCCATTAGGATTGTATAATTCTAAATTACCTGCAACAAGTATTGTACTTCATCTTCTGGGTCAATGACCCCTACCTCGAACAGGTTTTCGTCCAGTTTCCCTGATCCTCGAGCAAATGCTGAGATTGTCCTTTGTTTTGCTTCTGGACATAAATGTAACTTCAAATTAACTTCTCCCCATAGCACGCCACACACAGTTTTCTAACTGTAATTTAACGGTAAATAAAAAAAATAAGATGCAATAAACAAATACAATTTTAACGGAGCATTTCTCCAAAGCATTTGCATGGATGTTTCCTGTCCGTTGCGCGGGAAAATACATATATATACTATATATATATATATATATATATATATATATATATATAGGAGGAGAAAGGGAACGATATATATTTTCTGTACGTTTTCAGGAGGAAGGAAACATTAAATAATACTCACACATTTGGTTTGTAAACAGGAACGTTGGTCGGATGGACCCATCAACAACTTTGAGCGGGAATAGCATGCCACGTTTTTCTGATAAACTCAAACTAATGGTCGTAATCTGTTCAGGAAGATTCAATTAGAAGGTAGACTGGTGGATAAATTAAGAAATAATTTCGTTCACTTGACAGACGCCCTAAAGATGTCGCTGGGTCTCACAGACCCAACGTTTCCACAGCCGGGTTAATGAAATCTTCTTCACTCCACATGAATGACGTAAATTACAGACCCCAGTAGTTTTGCCTAACAAATTGTAAAATATTCACTTCGGAAGTGTAAACAAAGCTAATTATAATACTTAATTGGGCTTTTTGTTTCTTATTCAATCGAGGAATATCCGTCTCCGAGAAGGAAGCAGCCAAATATAGGGTTCCACTCTTTATCTGACAAAGGAAGTGCGTCACAGCGGTTTGGTGGTCAGTCACGTGGTCCTCTTGCAGCATAGTAATTCCAATTGAACCATTCCTTTTACCTCCTACAAAAAGAATATACAATTCCCAGTATATACAGATGCTATTTCGAGAGCCTGAAAGTACGAACTAGATTAATTCGACGTTGTTCAACTTAACCCGGGATGATAATTGAAGCAAATATGGAAAAAATAGTATTATACGTAAAAATTGCTGATAATTTGTAGCTAGTTGCCATCAATTCAAAATAACCAGTTTAAATAACAAGAACTTCCAGAAATCGCAATTCTGTAGAGATTGCATACCCACATACGACAAGCATGTTGTACGTATGTCGAAACCCAAAAGCAAATGGAAATAGAATCAAGATGACAAACGTTCCAGTATAGGACAAATTTATGAGCATAGCAGGGCAAACAAATGATAAACATTATTATAGATCAATATTATGCAAGTGTCCATAGCGTGCCATAGCAGGAAAGTAATAATATAAACAGAAACACATTTCATACTTTAGTAATTTCAAATATTATTAGGAGGAATAAGTAAGTTTGCGTTGAAAAATTGGACAGGACAAAACAAAATGTGTGAGTATTATTTAATGTTTCCTTCCTCCTGAGAACGTACAAAAATAGATATATCGTTCCCTTTCTCCTCCTATATATATATATATATATATATATATACACATACATATATATGTTTGTTTATGTAATGTATGTATTTTTCGGTACAGGAACCATCCTCAAGCAAATGCTTTGGAGAATGCTCCGTTAAAATTTTATTTTGTTTATTGACTATCTTATTTTTTATTACGCTTAAATCAGTTAAAAACTGTGTGTGGCGTGCTATGGGGAGAAGTTAATTTGAAGTTACATTTATGACAGGAAGCAAAACAAAGGGCCATATCAGCATTTGTTCAAGGATCAGGGTAACTGGACGAAAATCTGTTCGAGGTAGGGGTCATTGACCCAGAAGATGAAGTACAATACTTGTTACAGGTTATTTAGAATTATACAATCCTAATGGTATATAATGCATTAAATGCCTTTGTTAGAATGAATATTACTTTCCTTTTGGGTGCTCGATATAGTCTCTAATTGTATAGAAAGAGTTGTGCAGCAGAAAAGATTTTACCTGAGACTTAAAGTTTTGATTCGAATTTAATCATTTAATATCATCGGACAAGGAGTTGTAAACTAATGTACATGAGGTGAATTTTTTTTAGTGATCTGTTGATACTGTCACCTGATAAATATGATTACGTCGAGTTGTAATTATAGACACCGTGTAAACATATTTCTCCTACTTCACATTTTCTATAATCGTTGGTAGAATCTTAGACAGAAATTTTCCATATAGCACTCCCTATAACTCTCCATTTAGAGTATTTTCCAGAAAAAATGGTCCTATACCTGGGTTCACGGTGTATACCTGACAGGTCCACGACCACCAACCTGCTGAGCGCTAATGGCTAGACTAGGGTGATTGATGGTTACCCCTTGAAGGTATTCTATAACCCTCCATAAATTTTCGCATAGGAGACTTCTGCGCATACTATAGGGATTAAAGGAAAATTACTTCAAAAAATTGAATATTTCCTTTGAGCAGAATTTTCAAGTTAGTGTTGGCAGCACCCTCTCTTCGCTAAGGTGTGTTACAAATTGTGTTCCTCAGGACTCTGTTCTGGGTCCAATCTCGCATCTCATGTACACAGCTGACATTAGAAAAGGCATTATATGGAAGTTTATAAGTTACGATTATAATATAAGTTGTATGAAAACCCAATATTGCAACACGTGGAGCTAAAAGGAGAATTACGAATAATAGAAAAAAT